AGAAAAGTCTCYGGGTGTGCCCCACACACTTGGCATTTTAACTGGCATCAAATATTTTTCAATGCACTGAATTTAGAGGTGGGAGCCCTGAGAARTATCTTCCCCCAGATTAATGTACACAGATCAGTTCAATTTAATCAACAAATAAATAGAAATATCACTTGCAAAGCAGCCTGAAATTAATCCATCATAGCACACCCAAAMTGAGTGAACTATGCCCACCTACAGWGTAATGACAAGCACRTAATTTCCTGTAACATATCTGAAACTAAAATGAAAGCATAACAAGTATAAAACCTGTTTCCACAGTGTTCTGAGCTTTTTGTTAATAATTAGAAAATAGAGGCTTTMTTTTAAATCTGGTTTCAGATATGAGACAATTTTAGAAGAGGCAGAGAAGGAAGGAAATCAGGAAAGGGAAAAGAGGTGGGGCATAATAAATTTTGTTCAACCTTTGTTTTAATGTAATTCTAGTTTAGTACTGATACATACCCCTGGTGAGATCATACAGRAAAAAGCAGAGATTTCTGATCCAGAGTGTTTCTGATTGCAGGCAGATACATCAAATAAAAGTTGAGGGATTCTCCTTTGTGGATGTGTAAAACAGGTTCCCTCTAAATTTTTTCACAGAGATTAATTTAGTGGTAAAGAATTGTCCTCTACTGGCCTTTGTCACTGGGAGACTTTTGGACACCAGATAGGTGCCTGATCTAAGTTAGATTCCAGATCAAAAAAACCAGACAAACAAGCAAATAAAACATTAAAAACAAGCAAATAAAACAAAACATTAAAAAAAAAAACAAAAAAAACCCCCCACCTAATGGAAATTATGCTTTCATTTATCTGTGGGTATATATGCAAAATAACGTATTTCTGTTCTAAGCTTTCTTTTTAATTACATGTTGGTTGTTCCTACATTATGAAGAGTTCTAAGAATCTTGCCTTCCTTTCTCTCTCAAAAAGTTCATTTTGTTTTTTTCATGTTCTTTTCTTGTGACAAGCTTGCTATGGCTGCCATAATTTTTGTGAGCTGCCTTTATTTCGGTCATAGGCTGGCTTGAACCACAACTTGCATTTCCCAAAGACTTTGAAGATTATTTTTAGTTGTAACTTTCTTTTTTATTTTGGGACATTTGGAGGTGTCCTGCCTAGAAGCGTTTCACTTTTTCAATCTTTCTTGCTTCTTCCAGGAATTAATTATTTATGTTGTGGTCACTGTAACTTCTATGTTAATAATTTCAGAGTGGAAAAGTGGCATGTATCAGTCAGAAGTCTCAGTAATGGTGAATCAACCTAAGATATGCAAATCTGTATGTACTAGCTGTTTTGTATGAATAAAATTGCATTCACATCAAAGCACAAACGTCATTACATCCTCAGTCATTAAGGTCTTGTTTGCCTTTAGAAATACTGCCGTAAATAATGAAAAAAATACGTATTCTTTGTCAATATATTTGTTAATAAAGGTGATTATTAACAGGAACCTGTTAAATTATCTAAATACCTCTATACTTTTTTTGTGTGAATGTGTATAARCAAGCAGATATGTATGTATTAATGTGTGTTTATATGTATATAATTAGTGCACATATTGATGTATTTAGACAGACATGCATTTGTTAATATTAAATTTGGAAGAAGCTAGAAGCCAGTTCACTGGATGATTTTAAGAAGTGATTGATATAAATGAGAGAGTCTTCGTGTGTGTGTGTGTGTGTGTGTGTGTGTTAAGCAGAAATGGCTTTTTCCATTTTTGCATGGTTCAAAATAAGATCACATATAAATACATTATAACCAGGAAGCCTGTGCCATGCTGGTGATGTAATACCAAAGCAAAACACATGGAATCATGCTGKTGGAATTGAGTTGTGACATCCCCATTTGTTTTTCTATATTGAGAGCATTTTGTGGCTGTTCTGATGCCTTTGATGACCTTGTGGTTGTGTAAATGCTGTAAGTCTCAGGGAAGCAGGCGCAGAGAATTGCTGTGCTCAACAGCATCACCCTCCAAGCAGTGTGTCCTGTCAGCGCCTGCCTGCCCACCCCTTGCACCTCAGGCCAGATGAAAGTCGACTTTGTATTCATCAGTGAGGGTCTACATTTGCACCAGCTTGTTACTAAGGAAGGATTTGTGAATTCTTCTGTTCTGGCAGAGAGGAGTCTCTTGGGAAGCTCAAGACCTCAAAGCAGAGCAAACGGTGCTGGTCTGTTGCAGACATGTTTGTGATCTCTGARCTTCTGCATTTATTTGCATCAAGTTATGATTTATTTTGTGAATAATCTCGCTGACATCAAGGTAACTCCTTGCAGAGAAAGGTACATATTTTAATGTGAGCGTGGTTGACAGAGTCTGGCCTGTGGTACTTTGATGTCCTCAACAAAATGCTGCTGTCACCACAGGAGATGACGTGGTGTCACAAACAATTACAGCTTGAGACGTGCTGCTGTCCTGACTGGGACATGGGTGATTGTTTCTGGAATAGACAGAAAGTTCTCCAGTTGTATGAAATAAAGATGCTGAGGTGCTGCAGGAAGATGCTCAAACTGAACTGTTTTCACTGATGTTTGTTGAGTCTGAGTCTGCRCCCTCTTCTCTCCCTTCTTGCTGARAGCAGAGGACATTTCCCCATGATGTGCTGTCCAAAGCTCAAGTGAGCAGTGAACAGGTGGCACATTGTCAGGCTATTTCAGATCATGGAAACCAYTTGTCCAGTTTTAGATTGCTATTGTTAGCAGTGTGTCTTTTAGTTGTGAGAGAGAAGAGGTTATTTAAAACKTAGACGACTCCTGTTTGCCTTTCAGAGCATGCCAAGTAGGATTTCAGAAGGAATGCTTGCAGATCACAGGCAGCTCCACCTCAATCTATTTGATGCAATTCTCATTTATTTTCAAAGTGAAACRTTGGAAAGAGCTCAAGAGCTCACACAGCAATTCAGTTCAGTGAGACATGCACAAATTCATTTTGGAGTGGGTGTTTGGGGCTCAAGTGCAGTGAGCAAGAGGGATGAAGAGGCAATTCTGATTTCTTTGATGTACTTCATTTATAGATCATTCCACAGCCTGCTTCAATGCAGTGTGTCCAAGACCCCAGGGGTGTGGAGCTGGTCACTCTTTCAGTATCTCTGCAGTCAGGGCAAATGAGACAGAAGTCAGTGATGTGGCCTTAAATGCAGAAGCTGCCCTCCAAAATGCAGCACAATAAATTTGCCAGGGGAAGGGTGATACACAGGGAAACAAGCTCATGGTAATGGTAACACTGAATTACCAAGACACCTTTTAAAAWTTCAGGGATATGCTGAATAATAGGATTTTTCAGCCTCAAATGAAGCGTTATATCCAAAGTGGCTGGAGGAGATAAGTGCTCAGTGACTCKGGAGATGCACATGTTCCTCACTTGCTTTAGAGCTGCAAAGTGAGGGCTTTTCTTGGTGGATTCCTATTTTAAGATTTCAGAATATGTCTTCATCCTATTTTGAGATGCAAACAAGTGCTGTCATTTCTTCCACGGCGTTTATTTTGGTTTTAATTAAGTTCATTAACATGTTTATCTGCCCTCTTCACTTAGGAGTCTCTTTGTTGTAGTAAACAGAAAACAAATTCTCTTCTCAGTTGCTGCTCTTTCGAAAGCTCTTGTGGTTTGCCAAGAATCTAATCTATATCAAGTAAGATTTCATGGCAAATGCCATCCAGCCTGCTAAAACATTCACTGATTTTCTTCACTGTCTTTCAACTTCCTAAACTTTCTTGACCCCCTAACAGCTGTCAGAACCCAACTTTAGGGTGCTGTTACACAGCTTTTCAAGGTGGGAAAAAGGAGGGAAGATTAGGAGATGGTATCTTTTCAGGAATAAATATGTACCCATTTTGTTACCCATTCTGTCACATTAAGATTTTCAGAGCCACTGSCTAATTGCCGTATAATATAAAATGTTACAGTTAAATGTTATTAATCTGTGGATTAATAGAGATACCCCCCCCCATGCCTTTGCTTACCTTTCACTTAATTTCTTTTGCATATCTTTCACATGTCCTTTTACTTACCTTTTTTCAATAGGTACCTATCTCAACACAGATTTTGTAAATACCAKCTATAGCTGCTTTTCTCCCTCTCATGTTCTCTGGCCATCAGTTTATTCACAGACTGCATAGATATAGTTATATCATCTGTACTTGGGGTGGTGCTCAAGAAATCCTCTTTTCAAACTAAATAACTTAATCTTGAAGCTGTAAATTTATAATTTTGGAATACAGGAGATTACAGTAATGACKGAATACCTCTTGGGCAGAAATATTCCAGTTACAGAAGTTGAATTAATTCAGTTTGRTGGATGATAATGCTTCTGGCAATGATCAGGGAAGGAACTCAGTCCCCAGCAGAAATGTACTGTGTTTGAATACATCTAAAGCACTATTATAAGACAATTAAAGGGAGCTTTTGCTGTGGATTTATTTTTTCTCTAAAGTCTATCTGTAGATAACAGAGGTGAAGAAGAGAACGAGTAGAGATATCTGAATTGAAATAATTGTCTTTCAAARCATWAKCCTATTTTAGTCTTGTGRATGTTCAGCTCAAACTTTAGGAGYAGTGCCTTTGTCYAATAATTACTGAATTAAGACACACRATTAAAATGTACTTGCAGGAAATGTGTGCATATATTTTTGTACAACAGAACATTATACCTATCTTGTAAYTTTTCCTCTTTAATGTGTATCAGTAAGGCATTTGGGAGCTTGGGATGGGGGTTTTGTGCATTTTTATATGTGTTTGCTTGGCTTTTTTTCCTTCATCTGCAAGACCTGTTTTAGTAGGAGGAGATGACTTTATTTTGAAAGAAGTATCAGCAAACTTAGCCAGAAGGATATATTTGTTACAGCTGTATTTATTGCCAATCATGAGATTGTGACTTTTCAGCTGGAGATTTTATCCCTACTTTTGAATGCAAAGATGGATRTATGGATTTGAAAAGCAGTAACAAGAACTCTTCTTTTTTTCTGATTAGATCCTTCAGATGATGAAGCTATTGTAAAACCAAGTGATAAAGGGACAGCAACACGTCAAGATTCAGATTCCAAACCTGCTGTGCAAAAGAAAAGAAAGCAGGTTTGTAAATCAAGCAATTGTTTAGAACACAAAGATGATAATGCATAGGGAAACACAATCTCCTTTTGTTCAGTAAAGAGACAGTTTYCTGATGTGTTCATGTAACAGTCTTTTTTTAAATTATGTTGTCTTATTTGATCAGATTCAAGTATATTTCAGTAATAATTTCAGTCTTGTTTTGTGAGGATTGAGATTTCCAGGCCTGTCCTACAAGGTGAGTATCCAGTGGTACAAGCCTGGATGTGCTGCTGAATATCWTCCCCTGTAATTTTCCCTTTCCCTGCACACACAAAGTCTGGAAAGCTGTATTTGTATGTTGTACAGATTCTCTACCCAAGCATGTTCCCAGTGCAAAGTCCAAGTGAAAAGAAATTTAGGTCTCCATGGATTGGTTTTTTCTTACCCTTGCACTGCTAAAAGCTTTGTTTAATGCCAGTAGGAACTGTGTTGTTCAGCATTACATGGAGTGTGCCAAGGACAGGAGGCATCACCCCTGTTTGAGGAAAAAAAGTCATCTAGAGGTCAGCTGATTTGAAGAAGTTTTTTRTTTGAAGGTAAATTTGTTCTGCCTTCCTCATACCACCCAGGAGAATCGACTGAGTGGCTGTCAGAGTGCTWAAATTACATTGGAAGCTATCTCTCTGTGAGGTGATGGATATTAATTTTGACCCCTAAGTCAATAGTRAATTCACTCTGTAATGCCTAGGCAATTGCCCAAGTGAAAGCCATTTGCAGGGATGTTCTTTTTTTGTAACAGAGAGGTGTAAACAACATGGCAGCAATTACTATACTTTCGGGTGTCTTTCCAAAGAGACCAAAGGTGAAGTGATCCAAATATCTGAATTACATCAGCGTTTTCATTAGGAAGGTGAACCAAGCAGTACAGGAGAAAGCTGTATTGCTTTTGTACATGCTCTACCAGGAAGTCAGATGCTGAGGAGTGAGAACTCATGTGGAGCCACTTTTTATCACCATTTTCACTTRAACATTTAAAAGTAGGTTAAGACACTTTGGAAGGGTTGCTTGACCCTTTTTATGAGAACATTTAAAAAGATAACCAACACGAGTTACTTGCCAAGGTGGTCTGGGATTGCTCAACTGTAGCAGAACACCTGCCACTGGTCTTTCTGTCAAAGAAAGAATATCAGCCTGCATGTTGGAATCAGGTAATTCTGATGTTTAGATGTGAAACTGCCAGAGGGAAATGCCTTAGGGGAGCTCAAACTCAAGGATGGGTTATTACACATCTTTTAGACAGACAAAAGCAGAGGTATTTATGAAAAGCTGGTGGTTTTGTAATTCTGGTGCAAATAACCTATTTTACTCATGCCTGCCTTATTCAGAGGCTGGAAGCTGATGTGCAGTGGGCTTGGCAATTTAAAGCCAGTCACGAGACAACCAAAGTTATGAGCATCTCTGTTCCTGTCTGCAGGCTGTCCKCAGCCTTACAGCAAAATGAGTAATCTGTCTCCAGTCTGAATGACGCTGTGATGTGTTTACTTTGTCCCAAACTCCAAAAGTCAGAGTATGTGGCTGACCTGGAATGTAAATTTTCACACACATGTGGGACTGTTTTCACTCCACATTTGAATTTCCCGTAACTTTGGCAACGTGTAAAGAAAAAAATCATGTTAGAAATCTAATACAGGAAATATTTTATGTTCTGTGTATGATTAACAAACAAGGAATTTATGACATTTGAGTCCATAAATCAGTGGTCTCAGCACAAATTTCCTGTTTTCTGCGTTTTAAGAATTTCCATGTAAAAATAGCATAAAAACACAGAGCACAAGGGAGCCGTGTCAAGAAACKGTTGTCTGCTTTATGTCTTGCATAAGAAAAACATGCAAATAACCTTTTCTTAAGAGTGGCATGTTAAAGAGCTATTGCATGAGTAGGTAGGCAACTAATGCTTGGGTAAGGGTCAGAAGTTCAGGCTAGATTAGATRCTGAAATATTTTAGACTGCAGATCATCAAAGACATGTAAGTTTACAGCCCTTCACCACCATGAGGTTCCTCTTTTTTTATGTCATTATTTTTAATGTCTGAATAAAGTGGATTTACTAGTGCTGGGCTAATAATATACTATGCCTAAATATATATAGGCAGTGTAAAGGAGGTAATTTTGAGTTTTAACATGCTTCTCAAAGGAAGTGCAGCTTTGACTACAAGGCTGCTGTGGATTTGTGTTGCCTGCTGTGTGTTTCTGTGGCTGTTGAAAGAAAGGGTTACATGCTGCCTTCAAAAAAGWAGTCATGGCATTTGGTGGTACTTTCAAATATTTGAATGAAGGGTTAGTAGTGAGAAGTTTCTTCTTTTAGACACATATTTTCAGCTCTGTGGCACATTTCATTCTTTGGTCATGCAGTTGGGAGTGTTTGCAGAGTTATGTAAAGCAGTTCACAATGTAAGAAGGGAGAAATGGGCCCAAAGTGAATGAGTGACATTTTTCAATATGCTGGAAGGGTGGTAGCACYACTGGGATAGAGCCATCATTTTCCACTGGAGGACAGAGATTCAGGTTGGCCCTTTCATGACTTTTTGATTGCTTGTAGGTATCCCTTGACTGAAGCAAYCCAAAGGCTTGTTCTCTGCATTAAATATTATGTTGAACTTAAAATTTATGATTAAAACACCTGGCAAATGKCCTTTAGGTATCTGTGGACAGCTGRGATATGTAAGAGTAGAGCAGAGRGTAGCTCTGTTTCAGTCTCAATGTCTGGGAATGCTAATGGTAGGGATWGGAATGAAGAAATGTATGGTGGTCTTTTAAAAACACTTGAATCAGAGGCAGGACAGAGTTTTTTTTTTAAAGAGAAACAAACCAGAAATAAAACAAAACAAAAAAACTATATTAACTCTGGAACAATTTTGTTAATTGAAGTGAGTTTCCACTTGCAGTCATTCCCTTCATTTCTRGTAAAGATAATCTCAGTTTATACCTGAGAAAATCACAGGGACAGATCTCAGATACTGCTGCCTTTGCAAGGGCAGTGACTGTGGCTGCATCACAGCACAGAAAGCAAGAGCTCATTTAGTTGTGTTGGACATGGTGGTTACCTGTTTTTATAGCTAATTTAGGGGAGTGGGGAGATAAAAGAAAGTGTAGGCATTATATGAATAATATCAATTAAATAATATCAGATAATATCATTCAAGCATAATATCAATTAAACTTCAAAAAATGCTTCTGATAAGGCTGTGAGAGTGGGCTTGGAAAGGCAGGAATGTGCTGGGCTGCATTTTTGAGTACCAGTTGCCATGAAGGGTCCCCTCTTGAGATGGGGCACTGCAAGGAGGCTCAGAGAGTTCTGAGTACTCTGAATTTCTGTCAGCTTTCCTTTGACCCTCTTGGACTGACTGAAACTGCCTTCCCAGGGCAACAAAGGAACAGCTTCTCTGTCTTTCAGCTGGGCTTCCTTTCCTGCTGMTACTTTTCTTTCAGGCTTTCCACAGGGAGCAATGCTGGATTTGCTGTTCCTGAGCTTTTTAATGCTCCATGTGATGAGTCTTCTCCACATTTTCTCACAAAAGCAGAGTTTTCCAGCCAAATGCATCATAGTAGCATGAAGCTTTTTCCTGCAGCTCARCCTATTTTCCCATTACTCTTCATCAGGTCACTTATTAAGCTCCAAATCCTGTTTGTGTAGATAAATTTGTACTTCCATTAAGTTGAAGGCCCTAAGAAAGCAAAAAAAAAAAAAARAATTGCTATGCTCTAAASAAGGARAGTCTGGGCCCTCCTCTGTTTTGTACAATTTTAGGTGGCCAAGGGCAAATCCTTCCCCTGGATTATGTGAACAGGGACTCTGGTACAAATGGACCAATGCAGCCTGTTCACTCAGGCACAAAAGAGGGTTAATGATAGCAGAACATATTGGATTATTCTAAAATGCACCATGTATTTTTCTTCTCTGTATTTGACCCTGCTTGCTATGAGGAGACAAAGCAAGAAGGGGGTAGGACAAATTCAAAATCTGTTTTCCTAAATTTTACAAGTGTGGAAGGAAATCCAGAGCTTTATTGTTTCCAATTAATCTTGCCCAAGTTCCATGCTATTTTTTACCATCTGGATGCTCACCTTAAACCCAGTTATTTTAGACCACTACTGGCAAAGTTTAGAAAAACTATTTCACACACAATAACAGAGATTAAAAATATAAATTTAGTGGCAGGTTTTGTTCATGTTTTCCTCCTGATGTTTTTTTTCTAAAGTATCAAACCCTGTTGTTCACCATTATGACTGCACTCTGAATGTTTCAATTTTCTGTTCTTTTATTCCTCCTTGGTTGCATCAACAGTCTAAATTCCAAAATTACTTTATATACATATAACTGTAAGAATTTGATTCCTTCTACAGGTTGACAAATTCAGTTTTATTTGGTTTTTTTTTTCCTAATCCAGCATTATAGTTTCTGTATCTCCTCTTGCCTCACTTTGGTAACAATTTTTTTCTTCTTTCTTTTTTTTTATGTGTTTTGCAGCCTACAGAGTGTTTTCTGAGTCAGTCTGAAGAAAAGCAGGAGAGCACTGTTAAGGCAAAGAGGAGGAAGAAGGTATGAATATCCTGGACTGTGTTTGGGGACTGGGCAGTGGTTATATGCTACAACAAGATGCAGAATGGGGACAACCCTGTGATGATGGGAAGTAATATGGCCATAATGGTGCTACCTCTTATAGAGAAGAATAGAAATTCCTAATGTTTAAACCTCACTCAAGATACCCATTCCCAACCTGACCTGTGTCTGTATTGCATTCAAGGATTTTATGTGTCCACACCCCATGTGCAAGCATTGCACACCAGGAAAGGGTGAGTGCACCAAAGAAARGTGGAACTTCAGTTGCTGCAGACCCATTCCAGCAGTTTGGTCAGGCTCCAGCTATTCTTATGTCTTTTGAGCCAAGGACTGTCCTTGTTCACTCCTCTCCTCATAGCATAAGTCTATAAATAAATACTCTCTATTATCCCTCTGGCCGTGCTCCATCCTCACCCACAACAACAAACACACTCTGCAATCTAGATGGAGATTATATGGCACCAGGCAAGTTAATTGTCTTTCAGGACAGACTGTAAATAGTTGGCTCCCTCACAAGGCTGAGGGGTGGCCTTTTTATGTTATGTTAGCCCTCTTAATCATCTAGGGAATGGGAAGAGTGGGATTTTGCTGTAGATRCAGCTCTGGCAGAGTAAGCACAGCACTGTCTGCTGGAGCCGGAGCAAAGGCATCCATGGCAGGGGCTGCTGAACCAACCCAGCCAGAAGACCCCGTGCTCAGGCAAACAGCAGCTGCTTAGTTACACCTTTGCTTTCAGTGGGCCACTAAGCTGACATACAGTCTGTCAAAAAATCCCACTAGGAAACATTTATTAGGTTGATCTGTGGCTTCCAAACAAAGTGCTGTCTCCAAATATAAGGAAAAGGGGGGAAGACCCTTTTGCTTTTAAGCATCTGGAATGAATTGGAAGGAAAAAAGTAAAACTTCCTGCAGGAGAAACATTTCCCCACAGCTCTCCATGAAGGAAGAGAGTTAGCTCAGATGCCCTTGCACTTGGTCTTAAAGAATTTCTCGTTATATCAAGCTTCTCCCCTCCAGAGGGCCATCATTTTCCTGAAGGAACCAAGTGGCCCAATGAATGATGTAATGGTCTTGTGGAACAGCATCTTACACTGAATTACTGAGTAAAATGAGCCTGATGATTCTGTCCTACTGTCTGCTAAATCAGAGGTTCCCAAATGTGGGTCACTTCAGAGGCAGCTTGTGGTGCAGGGGCCCCACAAAAGCATTGGTGGTTATTAGGAAGGGCAATGGAGAGGTTTGGTTGTGGGTCTCGCACAGAGCCTGGCAGTGCTGCCCATGGCCTCTGCTCGTGCTTTGGGAAAACACTTGTTCCATTGCAGAAAAATACAACAGGGGTAAGTGAAGAGGAATTCAATTGCCTTCAGCTGGGAAGGAGGGAATTCTGCAGGATGAAGCACTGCAGAAACCTGCAGAACAGCCAGACGTCTTCTGGAAAGTCATGCAGGAGCTGTAGAGGGCTTTGTTTCAGGCCAAAGACTGAGAGGAAGGCATAAACACTTCATTCTCATGTGTCCCACTGTCAAAGGTTCAGCTGGGGTCTTGTGAACCCAAATGTGGTTTCTGGCAGGGATGAAACAGGCAGTGCAAAGTGGCAATGGCTGGGAGAGGCAGTGGCTGCTTTGCCTTTTCTGTTCTGCAGCCCCAGATGGCTCTGCCCGTTCAGCATTCTGCCCYTTATGCTGCTTTACAGGAGTATTGGGGGTGTGTTGGGTAAGAGGGAGAGACAGAGTGCTGGGGAATGGAARAGAGGAGGGATTCGGGGAAAGAATGGATTGAAGGTCTGTCCCTGACATTAAAATTCCTGCCATAACTCTCTTCAAAATTTCCCTTGATCTTTGCTGTCCTGGACCTTAACCTGCCAAACTGATAATACCATCATCTATCCAAAAATGCTTCCAGACCCACCTCATTTCTGTGAAATCCCACTTTGCCTCAAAAATACAAACCCTGATGCTCTACCCTTCTCCTTTTCGCTTCCAGACTTATGCTGCCATGTGTCCCCTTGATGACATGTTCAGTTTAGCTTACATAGCTGGCCTTTCAAAAACCAAACACATCTCAGCAAGATCAAGAGGTGTCACATTCTTGACATTCTCTCCAGACTGCCTCTGTCCTTGCAAATCTATTTTCTTAAATGCTGGCAAATCATTCAGATAATGAGAACCTTGGGCTATTCTACCCACATGTGCCATTTCATTATGGGAAAAAATACAGCCACCCTTTCACTTCAGTGAGAATTCAGCCCTGTCTCTTGGTAACATTTCTAAGGTGTAAACACAATTATTATGAACTCATGTTCAGTTTCTAAAAATTAGTAGTTTGTTTTAAAAAATATAAAGTGTGGGAGAACAAAGCAGCTGTGAACTCTTGCTGCTTGACCTGTGATTGTTTTAATTTATTTTCATTGCCTTGGCATAGTATTCTGGAATACAGCTAATCATCTTCCCTATCAAATATAGTTACCCTGTTTTAATCAAAATATAACCAAGCCATATGTTATCACTTGRTTCCTGTTGTCATGCCTTAAGAACAATAAATTAAACAAATTATGAAAAAAACCTAAGGTTTCAAGCTAATACTAAACTGTAGCAATAGAAAAACTCAAAAACCAGCTTTCAGTTATGTTTTTGTTGCAGCAACATTTCAGKTGAGTGCAAGATTTTTCATGTTGAGACTCACAGGCCATCTTGTCAAAGTATCTCAACTTGCATCTGAACTGCATTCCCACTAAAGGCAAGGGGAATCTTGTCCCACTCTAAGGTGTTTTTCCAATTAAGTTGTAATTAAACTAATATACTGTATAAAGATAGGAGGAGGATTTTATAGTGCTGTTAGCTAGCCAAAGAACTGCATAGAAATATCATATTTTAACCTGTTTTACTTGKTTTTTTTAGAAGAAAATTTCTGATGTTCTGCAAAAATCTGCTCCAAAGCCTGCTGTCCCTGCAGATCTACAAAATCTGCTTACTCAGCATTTTGGTGAAAACCGTTCCKTGATTGAACTAGAGGAATTAAAGCTGTCAGGTAACTTATCCTGTATTTAATGTATAAATAACGTTTTTTTTCTTAATACTTTTGACTTATTTTTCTGCAGAAGGAAGAAGATTCTTGGGACAGGTCTTGAGTTGCACTTCTTAATGAAAATGTTTTCTTATATTCTTTTTTACTGTATATTATCTTGCTGTTTAAGTTGAAATGTTAGTTTCTTTGGAATAAATGTGAGATTTCTCGGAGTTATGGAAATGAAACATTGTTTAAATGTCTCTTTTTGTTGTAAAGTATTAATTTCTGGAGCTTACTTTTCTGATAGAAATTATGTGACTCCGAATAGTAGCTTTCCAAGATGCCATGAGAGATGTGTTTTGTTCCTGGGATTATCTGAGTCAATCCAGATGTGTAATTAGGGGCTGACAGAAATGAACAAAGAAATAATGAGGCATCATTCTCACATGGGTATGAGATRTTGAGTGCAATGATTTTTCAGGGAGTGGCATGAACTGAGATGGTAATTGTGGTCCATGTATGAAGTGCCCGAATTTTAATTTAGGATCCTCTTTGTTCCCTGTGTCCTGCCTCCAGTGAAAAGCCAGATGGAAAAGGCAAAAAGCAGGACAGGCTAGGGTTAGCTTCTGTCAATTGGAGGTTGCACTGGAGGTGATGGCAGCATTGAACTTTGTTGCCTCCTCCTGTGCAGAGGGACACTGTCCCTTTTTTGTTGGTCATGCTCATGAAGAATAGCAGCCTGGTCACCAACCTGCACTCACCTTTGGGACTTCTTGAACTGTCAGTGACCTGTGCCCAGTGCAGAAGCCTTCTAGTCCAGCAGTGCTTTTTCTTTTTTAATGCATAAGCCTGTCTCTCTAGGTAAATATGCTTTTCCTTAACCCCCATGATTACAGGTTGACCCTTCTTTATTTCTGTGGGGGCAGGTTCAGCTTTGTTACTGAACCAAGAAAACCTGGAGAAGTCCSACACAGATTGTTTTGAAAAGCTTAYGTTAAGTATTTTTTGGCATATAAGATTTTTAGCAAATAATAAATTGCTTTGGTTTCTTTCTTACTAAAAGAGCCCTTAAGGCTACTGAAGTGACCCATTTCCTTATGTGTTGGATGGAGATATTTTTTCCTTAGTTTTTGCTGGGAGTTGAAGGCTTAGAGTGCCAAGGAGTTTATGAACTTGTACAGTTGTCAAGTTGTTCACGTCAAAGTGCTGAGTAAATAACAAGCAACTACTTTGGAGCTSTGTGTTCCTGTTCACTGACAAAGTGCACAAGGTCAGGGTTGGTGAGAACGTCAGCATGGTCTCTTGCTGCAGTCTGGAGCTGTGAGTTTCTTTCCCCTTTTCTGAAACTTCTATTTGGAACTGTTGTAAACACTGCAGTGTTGCTGGACTGTGGGTGAGGAGTCAGTGGCTGAAGCTGTGTCCATCAGAAGCCACCTCTTGAGTTGTCAGTCACTGATGAGGCCATGTGTTCAGGAGATCAGCCCCTGCCCTTCCCCACCAGCATTGAATGCATCTTTTGAACATCATTCTTAAAGTAAATCAGCTGCTGATCCTTCCATTGTACATATTCATTTMTTTTGAAGTTCAAGTGCCAGTAAATGTCAATCTTTGGATTTAATAGGAATCAGTGCAAAATAAAAGTTTTTAGCAACACAACACCCACTAAATGAAAGCTATAGCTGTACTCAAGGTAAGTGCACAGACAGGACCTCAGCCAGGCATTAGCTACAAACCAAGTTTGTCTCATTGTCTGTTCCAATGAAAGTCATGAATTGATGCTCTCAGCATTAACACAATTCACTGTGCATATGAACATGAATAACATCTTTGAAGAAACATTAGTTTAGTTAAAATCCATCAGCAAACATCCCTGGACACCCTGAAGGGGCTGTGCTTCATGCAAGATGGTGACCAGTATTTAAGGCTTTAAAGACAGAATTGTTAATGCTCTGCAGAGGGATATGGTTCCATCAGGCTAAGAGCCCTTTCAATTTTTCAGACCATCTAATTTTRATCACCTTTTAAGAACTTAGACCTTCTGTATAGACATGAGAAAGGATCTTCCAAAGAACCTGTTAGGATCTTCATTGCCATTATATGCAGTTTTCTGCCACAGTGTGCTTTAAAAAGGCTTCCTAGTTAACATAGTGACCAGGAGAAAGGAAGTCAGCAGGAAATGGAGAGAAAGACACTGAAATGCAGTGGAGGTGTTGCCATTAGTGTCGATATAGTTAGGTAGATTGGCACAATATGAAAGGCCAGAAAGTGAACAAACTTACTGACAAGTACATTATTGGTAGTGTTTTGTATTTACTCAGTATGAATTATTTGGGGGAGGTGCAAACGTATTTCATCATGGGTACATTAGAGGGACAGTCCAGCAGTGTAAGGCTTTTGGCTGATATGTGATTCATTGTGGCAAAGACATATGAAAACTTCTTTTAAAACATGTGAGCAACCTGTGCAGCCCTGTATTCAAGGTTTCAGGGTGGGAGAAAACAAAGGAATTGCAATTCAGAGATTGCACCTTCATTGACATAACCCATATAAAGTTTCTTCTGCATTAATCTTTTAGATATGGTAATCTATTGATGATCGATTTTATGATGTTGGGATTTCATCAATATAACTAGTGCTTATGCTGCAAATATATTCTCCCTTTGCTGTTAAAATACATCAACATATGTATTTTTTCCTTTATGTTTTCAGATGCCTGTTTTTTGCCAGCCAATGATCTGACCCACAGTTTTTCTTCATACCTGAAGGAAAGTGAGTTAAAATGTTGGTCYGGGTGAAATGAAAGCTGTATGAAAACATTATTAAGACAATATTATTGCATTTTTAATATGTAGCTTCAAATAGTGTTTATTACTAAATATTAATCATTTTAAGCTGTTTTAAATTCTGGTTTATGACAGGTTTTGTTTTTCTGTCCTTTTTTTACTCTATCACTTTTTTTTWAATCAAAATGTTCTAGGCTTTTTTTTTTAATTGCTGAGGATGATTTGTGAGTGATTTACTGTGTCTTCATAAGTAGGTGTATGTATTATTTTACAATAGAAGTTCTGCAGCTGTCTGCTGACATGAACCAAGAGAATTTTTATTCTCTTGTATATTTATATAGAACTTCTGTTTATTTTCAGTTGATTTTCTCTGATATAAATTGCCACATGTGGCAAATGAAGACAATGGGCTCATCACCTTAAAAACTGTTGATTATTAAGGCTTATCTACTTTGTTCAGTTATGTGAAATTTCTGTATTTTGTTTATTTTGGGCATTTCATTTTCCAGTTTCTCAGCCATGACTAAATGCAAAAGTGTTGCCAGAGTTCCAGACCTCATAGGAGTCAGCATGTGTGTTCTTGCTGCTGGCTACCATTCATCATGTACTCGAGTAATTTAAAATTGGGGCATGTAGTAAGTTCCCTGTGTGTGTTTTCTCTTGCAGTCTGTCCAAAGTGGGCAAAGCTCCGGAGGAACCACAAGGAGAAGAAGTCGTTGGTGATGCTGGTCCTGTGCAGTTCTGCCCTTCGCTCCTTGGAGCTCATCAAGTATGTCAATAGCAAACGCTGTGTTGAGGTTGGCAGTCGGTCAGGAGTTTTGTCTCGGAGCCACAGGCAAAAAGGCAAAACTGGGACACTGTCCTCTGCTAKCCAGCAAATTCACTGACTCAAACTGATGCAATATCCCTTCCTGCTTTAAACTCTGGGGCTGCGGGGTTTGGTTTTGGACTGAAGTAATGCTCCGTACTTGAGTTGCCTGGGGAGTGTTACTTTTGTTAAAACCCAAAAATAAAGTGTAACCARTGTGGGGAAAACATGGAACATGTTATGCTTGGGAACAGAGTAAGCCCATAAAGCGTTATGATCCACTTCTAGAAATCATGACTTTTGTGCACCAAAGGCAACAAGGACATGGCATTTCAGGGCCTCAAGTGTCAGTGTGTATGTCTGGCTTGAGTGTCTACAGGTCTGGGTCAGTGTTATGAGCTGGCTCAGGCTGGCAAAACTGCTGGGCAGAGATGACAATTGTCAGTGTGCCTTGTCCCCATTTTTTCTCCTTCTCTATCCCTTTTCCTTCTCATGACAAAAGTTTTGATGAGTTTGATGAATTAATCATGGTTGTCTTCTGTGTCTTGACCCCACTTCCTGTGATTATCTGTCAATACAAAATGGGATGGAGAGTTGGGAAGTTTGATTCCATGACACAGATAYTGGCATAGATAAGGCAGATAAGTGCCAGTAGTGCTTAGCTCCTGTGTGCAGAGATTGGCACCTGAGGCTCAGGTGGTTTAGATGTATATAAACCTTTAGTTTTGCAAATTAAAAATCTGGTGCACTGCAAGAAACATGCAAAGAAAGCAGTCTTAAATAACATTCAGAAAATACTGAATATGCTGTTTCCTGKTTGAGGAATACAGAACACAGAATTGTTACTCTGTTCCAGAATGAAGTCAGAAAAGCAAGTCATGGTTTTTAACAAATGAGTTTTGGTTAACTGGAGTTTGGGCAATCTYTGCAGTGAAGACTATGGCRGCCTAGKTTTTCCCAGCAGCCATGCTGCAGGAAGRTTGTRAAATGTAGATTGGTCCACACACAGATCTTTTCTTTTGTGCACACACACACAAATTCATTCATGCCTGTATCTCAGTAACTGAATTATTTTTTAGTTAGGATTTGGTGATTAATCAGTTTTGAACTAAGTTTGCTGGGAAAGCACAGRCCATAATATTAAATATTATCTGAAAAGCTGTCTAAACAATATTGCCCTCTACTGATACCTTCCATTGTRTCTGTCCAGTTGTTGATCACTGTTGGTAAGTAGCAAACAAGAAGGTACATAATGTTCAGAATACARGCAGGGTTCACTGGGGTACTGTGTGTYTCAAGYAYWTTRAGAAATGCCARTTAGTTTTTCTTTCCTCATGTGTGGTCTTAAGCCCAGCCCTGATTCTCACATTTCATTGTTCTTTTTTTTTTTTTTACTGCTAGGTCAATGACAGCCTTTAAAGGAGATTGCAGAGTCCTCAAGTTGTTTGCAAAGCACATAAAGGTAGGGAATTTTAACAAAGCAAGTAAACAGCTAAATAGTGTCATGCCATTTTCTCTTTAAATATTCTGGTTGTAGTGCCTTCCCCAGAGTGTTCATATGAAGCTCTTTCCATAGATAGTGCTTCCTTTGGTAACTCATTGCTGCGGTGTGAGGAATTCTGCTGGACACCATCTCCAGTAGCTCTGGTGCACCCTGTGTAGAATGCAGATGCTTGTGCACCTGCTGAGTTTTACTGTTCCACGTTGCCATGAAAGTGCTCATTCAAAAGCCAGAAGGCTCACACACACAGGGCTGTGGAAGCAAACTGTACCAGCACCCACTTGGATTCTGGCAATTGAAAGCCTGGATTCCCAGTTTCCACACTACTGTAGATTAAAGTTTCTCCTTTTGTTTCCTTTCTTGAGGAATTTTTCTTTCCCATTTTGTTGCTGAGATCCACTGATTGCTAGGTCATCCTTTTGATGGTTGGGGGATTGGGGAAAACAAAAGAACCTACGCCCCACCTGAAGGGTCTCCCTGGGCACTCCTCCTGCCTTGCAGGTTTTTTAATCCCCTCTTTGGAGAGAGGGAAGTTCTTGTGAGAGTTTTGGGCTCGGGGAGGGTGTGTGTGGGGCAGGGGGTGGCTTCACTTCCTGCCCTGCTTGGCTTGGGGGGACGGTGGACCTGCTGCTGCAGAACCCAGCGTCTCCAATCGTCAATCCCTGTTTGCTGCACGTGATCTTCTGCCCCAGTGCCTTGCTGGGGACCCCTGGAATTCCAGCTGCAGTGGTCAAATTCTGCTACATCCCGTCTACAGCTGCAGGATTCTGCTCGTCTTTTTATCCATCTAGCCTTTCTGAAGTTTCTTACTATCCAAAAAAGCACAGAGATCAGCACTTTCCCCTGTAAATTTATAAAAAAACTTTTCTCCATCCACCTCTGCCATTTTGTGTCCGCCATTGGCCACGTGGGAGATCTGATCCAGCCAAGAGCCCCGTGCCACAGCGCCCCCTGCAGGCTCGGAGGAATCATCGCACCCGCCCTGCGCGGCCGGGAGCCAACAGCGCCCCTGCCGGCTGGGACTGGAACTGCACCAAAGGGGAGGCTGTGTCTGTGTGTGAAGCTGTCATTGAGTTTGTGGCTGGGTTGATTGTTGCTATTGTTATTGTTACTTGTTTCACCTTGTTATACATATTAGTAAAAACTGTTATTCCCTTTTACCCATAAAGTAAAAACTTATTCCCTTTTACCCATATTCTTGCCTGAAAATCCGTAATTTTTAAACRTATAATAATTCAGAGAAAAAGAGAGTCATATCCACAACTCCAAAAAAAGTCCCTGCCTCTATTAGCAAGCACCTGTCTTTCAAAACYAAGACACACACCTGTTAAAAAGTACAAATTARGGGGCTGTTGGGAGTAATGAGTAGACACGTGGTCATTGATATCAATGCTGGCAAACTCACAAATSTCATTTACTTTATTTCACCTTTTTCCAGTATCTTCATCTTGAAAGGACATCAGAGTCAATTCAAGTTTTTCAGTTTTCCAGAGAATTTGTTTAAATACTGAAGGAATCTTACTGTTCTCACCTCCAAAAATAGTTGGTRCAGTARCAGATTTTCAAAGTTAAAAAAGATYGAACTTCTAGAGAAGTGTGATGCCCAGCTGGCTTGTTACATTTCTTAAACTTTCTTCCAGATATAATTGTCTGACAGTTTGAAAGACAAATATCATTTGTTACTTGATGGTGTTCTAGAAAGAAATATGATGAGGTCTTGAATTTATTTCCAACTCCTTGTGAAGAAATTTTAAAACAATTGTGGTTTTACTGTGTTTTTTCWTTTTCTCTTCAAATTAGATAAAGGAACAGATGAATATGTTGGAGAAAGGTGTGTTCCACATTGGTGTTGGGACTCCTGGGAGAGTAAAAGCCCTAGTAGAGCAAGGTAGGAGAACAAGGATGATTTATTCCCTAGGTATCTTATATTTGGTCTCATGAGAAGTGAAACTTCAACTGTGGTTTTTTTAGGTTGACACGTATATGTAGATTTGGGTACTAAAGTAAGGTTCTGTTTCTCCACTTGTGTTATGACAGTCAAAACAAGGTCAAGGTTCTACTACTTTGTTTTATGATYACTTTAAGCTGGCCTAAGTCAGTGTTAGCAGAGAAAGGCAGAGYAATACTTCCTCACACTCACCAGTCAGTGCTTGCTTACTCCCCCTTCCTGCTCCCTGTGCAAGCCCAAGAGTCTGTTTGAGCTGACCCCAATTAAAACAAAACCAGTGTGCACACAAAGTCAGGTAATGAGCAGGCAGAGGTGGGGGACTTCCTCTTTTGGCAGGGATACTGATTTATGCTGACTTGAAAGTGATTGCAAAACCACAGTGTGAGATGTAAAGCTCCAGGAAGCCAAACACTGCAAGTGGATCAAAAGGAAATAGTGGCAGAAGTCACTGTATCATATGGCACTCTGAGCTCAGTGTAAACTGTGAGGGGTGGATGAAAGATCTGCTTGCTGACTTGATCTTATTTCTCATTTGCTTATAACAAAATCAATTATTCTGTATAAATCTCCTTTTCTATTCCCAAATTTTCAGTACTTCTACTTACTCAGTAAACAGTATGTACACAACAAAAAAGAAACAGCAAAATTGTAAGGTGGTAAGGCAATTCGTTCCATTCCTCTTAGGCAAGACACTGTCTTGCTCTGACTGTGGATTGGGACTCTACTGCTCCTTCCAAAAGAGTACAGGAGTAATATAGTTTTGTTGCTTCCACCAAAATTAAATTATTAGTGCTTAGGACATCAGCACCTTGCCATGGTGGTGAGGCACTGGAGCAGGTTGCCCAGAGAAGTTGTGGATGCCCCATCCCTGAAGTGTAAAAGGCCAGGCTGGATGGAGCTTGGAGCAACCTGGTCTAGTGGGAGATGTCCTTGCCCATGGCAGGAAGTTTGGAAGCAGATAATCTTTAAGGTCTCTTCCAACCTAAACCATTCTGAGTCTCTGTTAGGTGTAGGCAGCTCGTGGACACAAGGGATGTAATTTTATCCCAAGCTCTAGTTCTTTTTATCAGTTTAGTGTTGCAGTGCCAGGTCACTTAGAGAARGGAGAGGAATCAAAACTGATTGAAAAAAATGGTGGGCATCATGGAGAGGACCAGGGAAAAATATGGGAACGGCTGAAAAGCAAGTTCAGGAAGGACCTATTTTTTCATCACCATTTCACCACCATTCATTCCATTGAAGGAATTCTTCAGCAGCAGCACTGACTTGACTCATATTCACATGGCACCCAGTCCTTTGAATTGCTGAACACTGTTCCTGTTAACATCAATGTTCGGGTTAGGGTCCTTGTAACTTCACAATGACATCAGCTGCAGAAATTCAACTCCTGTGGTTTCAYCAAGAGGAAGTTTGAGGAATTACTTGCTGGCAGGATGTTAAGCTCTTGACAAGTCTGGCAACAGTAGTTGTTCTCCTTTAGTGTTTATCTTCCAAAAAGGCATGGGATTATGTGGCTAAGGGAGTTTGCAGTGTCAGTGCATTAGTTTTCCAACCAGCAAATGTAGTATTTAGCATTCAGAGATTAGTTTCCTTGGAAACAGWCAGCCAAAGATGTAAAAGCCAAAAATCATTTTGATAAGCATATGTCATATTATCTTGGTAGTGAAATTTATGTTACCTTTTTAGATGCCCTGTGCTTGACCTCCACMAAATATATGATTCTGGATTGGAATTGGAGAGATCAGAAACTAAGGAGAATGATGGACATCCCTGAGGTATTGTATAAGCACTTGTATATATTATATTCTGTGTACTCATTACTTTTTTTTCTAGTTCTCAGCTCTTGGTCAATAAGGTCTTTCTGTAAAGCTGTCTTCAGTGGTTTGCAAACACAAAGAAGTCAATGTTGACTGATAAGTCTGTACACTGAGGTCTCAAAATTATCTCCTGGAAAAGAATTTTTCCTTTATTGTTGCAAGTCACGRCTGTGACTTCTGTGGTTGTGCTGTGAGTTTCCCCTGTTTATGCTCCATGGATGTTCTACCCTTCCCCAGGAGGTTTCCTCAGTAGGAAGAGTTAGTGCAGAGTCCTAGACYTCAACAAATTAAGAGAGAATGGGCATCACCAGCCATGTGAAATGGTTGGATTGGATTCCTCCRTTAGTGGTTGTTAGAAAGTTCCCAATTTCCTGCACAGTGTTTTCAGATTTTTTTTACATTTAGAGCAGGTCCATGTGCAGACTCACCAAAGAAAATTACTTTTTTGGCATACAGACATTAAGCTGTTTATCTAAGTATCTGAATATGCTGTATTTTACAGCCCCACATACACAAAATGAAAAAGATACATTGCAGAAATGAAGTAGCAAAAAAACCTGCATTTGGTTTTTTGAAGGCAAGGAGGCTCCCTCTTGTGGTAAATACATCAGACTTTCTTTGTATGGTGTTTGCACTTACCTGTAAGCTTTTCAAAGAACAGAAAACATGAAACCACAGACAGTACAGTATAAAATCAAAAAATGTGCTGATGGCAGTGAGATGGACTTTTCAAGTCATCTGAAGTCAATTTCCATACAGTAGACCACAAGTGATCCACCTCAAAAAAAAGAAGATTATATTGCTTTTTCCTTTTGGGCTATTGCAAACCTAAACTATACCTTTCTGTAGGCAGCATCATAGCAATTCTGTGTATCTGTCTAGGAATACAGGCCAAAAATTGTGAYTCCAAGTCTATTTTATTAAGGCAGAATCTTGAGGCTAACAGCATAAAAAGTTAAAGCTTAGTTCAAGTTAAATCCAGGTAAGTAAGAACATTACACCATCATATAATGTTARGATAAGCAATAGATATTTATGTGATTACAGAATAGTGAATATGTAGTTACAGAAAAGTCTTCAAACTACCCTTGACTCGGGTAACTCATCAGGAAGGAAAGGTTTTGACCTCTTGAGCTATGTTAGTGGAGTATCTTGCAGGTGTTTCTCCCACTGCAGACATCAGGTAGATTCCTCAAAGTTGGTGTAAGGAATGTCAACAAGGGAAGATACCCAAATAGTGTTTTGGTGATAAGACATCTTAACACCACATATAAACCCATGGGATGTTCTAGCAACTTGTGCACTTCAAATGTGGAACACAGTCTTAGTCAGCTTTTCCAATTGTATAAGAAATGTCAAATATATGCTATGAATAGTTGTAAGTTTTCTCAGGGAGGAAATACAGTACCAAAGACAATTTGGGGAACTGGCTGTTTGATGCACTAATTTCTTTCACCTGTGTTAGTTATGGAGGCAAAATCATATGCTTAAAATTAGAAACTCAGCATACTGGCCTATATTCAGTGCAAACCTCAGTTGTCAATGATTTCTTTGCATGTTTAAGGTGCAGCATTGCTAAATTTCATTGTATTTACACCAGAAAGCAGCTGGAAGCACATGTCCGTTCTATTTGCTGTTTTTATATCACCTGATGTTCAGTGGAGAATTATGAACAAAGTGTTATTTTCTGATAAATATATAAATTTCAAAACCCATGGATCTTCCCATGGGATTCTGTATCCCATCATGTCCCCACCATCAATGGTGTCCTGATCCACTGCTCTGTCAGCTGCCTCATTTGTTAATCCTGTTGGATTTTTTTAGTCTCTGTTTCTCTGTCTCCCACTTCATTCATCCCAAACAATGGAGAGAGAAGGAGACAATAAGAAAGCTCCCCAAAAAACACAGGAGGGATTAATGAGTTTATCAGATTGTCTTGGCACACGGGGGTTATAGTAAAACGTAAAGGTCTAAATAAAAATGGATTGTGTGCTTTCTGATCTGACCAAAGGACATGCTTCCTGCTTTAAAAGCTTTTTGTACAGAGGTTGATKGCAATACAGAGCTTTCTAAACTCCTCAAATTACTTGTTTGTACGATTCAAATGAAGTTTTCTTTTCAACAAAACCCAGTATTGTATTTCCTGCAAACAATATGCACACCAAGCATTCAGTAAATTTGAAAAYAGGGGAAGTTCAAGTTTCAGACTTCATGAAAATAAAAAGGTTTGTGAGGAATGGATTTGGGATAGAAAGACAACWGTTTTCACCTTCATGTAACACATCCAGTGTGGAATTGAGGCTAGTCAGGCTTTCTTGTATCATCTGTTCCTCTGCAAAGTGGAGGTATGGGAGAATATAACCCTGAGAGAAAACCTAATTAAGTTATTTGTGAGCAGTAAGAGGGAGCTATAAGGAAACTCTGGACTAACCATGATGATAAAGTACCTTTGTTCCCTCTGAAATACGTAGTCAATATTTACTCTGTAATACATTTATCTTCAGATAAGCCATAAGCTGCAGCCATGGTGTCATAAACCAAAGGACTTTGTTTGCAGCACAGGCAGACCTGACCTTCATGCTCACTTTCATTCTGGTGTCTCAGACACAGACAGAGCTGTTGCACTGCCCTTGATCTGCTTGATACCAGTTCTTACTCTGGGAAGTCCTGTAGAGATTTTGTAGCCCAGGATGGACCTTTTGCTGTGGCATGCTTTATCAACCCTTTGCCAATGCCAGCCTTTCTGTAGCCACCTTAAATGGGACTTCAGAGCTGCAGGGCAAGTSCTGGGTATTTTTAAAAATGGAGACATTCTAGAGGATCTTATATAGGAATCTCTTCTTTCCTATAAATTCTCTTCTGGTCCTATAGTAAGGTKCCTGAGTAAATAAATGATGGTACCGTTATCAGTAACTTTTTATGCTTTCTTTGATTTTTGTTTCCTTCAGATAAAGAAAGAAATGATTGACCTGCTGGAGAAGAGTATTATAAAGCTGTGCAGAGATGGATCTGTGAAGCTGGGACTCTTTTAATGAGTTTACCAACAAAGAAGTAATTTGAAACKGCATTTTACTATTATCCTGTCTGCAACTGAATTCTGACTTTTCAGAGGTCTCTCAGTACAGAATGCACATTGCAACTTTATTTGAATTTTCTTTTAATAAAAAAMCAGAAATTTTTCGTAGTTCTAGTATTATTTTTATTGCAGAAAAAATGTCATACTGAAATTAAGAGTTACATTGCATTCATGTGCCAGATTTACTACTATATGTCACTRGTAAGACTTTGAAGATGAGCAAAAATGGGTGTGAAAGTCTTTGCACAACACATTTTTCTGTTCCTTCCCTGTGCTGTTCCAAAGGAGACTTGTATTTCTTTCACAAGAGTGGTAATTTAGTTCTTGAAACCACAAGTGAGCAGGGATAGGGCTGGYRTTCTGGGAAAGCCTCGTAGTCAGGGGAAGCTTTTSTGGGCGAGATCTTTCCTTTTCRCACYGTTTGAGCCCGAGTGCAGCATTAGAGAAAAGYTTTCTTCRAGAGATTCTGCTTGTAAAATCTCTCYTTTTCTYCATCTTGCCAGCCTTGGGRTCTTWGAAAAAGTTGTGTGAATTTCATTAATATGTCAAAAAGGTATTTTTCASCTGTATGTTCCAGAGCTGGCCTGGTGCTATTTTCTGCTTTTGCATGATGAATTATCTGTCTGTTATATTGAGATTTTATTTTRTTTAAAATGTTGCACTTGTGCAAAAAGTGTTCTTATGTTTGTTCATTTAAATGAAGAGGAGGTGATCTTTGGGTGATTCTTTTGTCATTGTGGATAGTAGGGAATGGATGGATTTTTTTTCAGAGAACAGGATTAATAGAGGTGAGGAAATCATCAGTATCTTGGAAAGCCATTGATCCAAAATGACTGTTTTTAAAATGAGTTGTCCTTCTGTGGTGAAGAACACATAACCTTTTTGCAGCCTTTAATTGCATCTCAGTCAGTGGCATTGAATGTAATAGGTTAAGAAAATTGAATTGGTCTTCCAAAGCAATGTTTTCTCTCCAGTACTGTCTCAGCACCTGCAGTCCTCCCCAGTGGAATTCAATGCAATTGGAGTAAACTCCTTTCATTTTATGCTTGTTATCTGGGCAGCTGTGGAAGTGAAGGGAGAAGAAATAATTCATCTGAAATTACACAGATATTCCASTACAGCTGACAGTATCCCTGCAAAGGAATAAGACATAACAAATCCTACTGCGTTGTGAGGCAAGAAAAATATATCCAAGCTTTTCCAGGAGGAATGAACTGGACACCCTGATCAAAGTACACAATCATTTGATTGGTACAAGCTGATCATGGAGATCCAGGCACAAATACAGAAAACAAGGAAGAGAGAGATCTAGTTAATAAGTAATTCCTCACCATAATGCAGGTTTGAACAAACAATACAGTCTCCCAACAATAAAGATACAACAGTATCTCAGCTGAAACACTCTCAAGCACAAGGATATTATTCCTTTCTCTCACCAAGAAGAAAATGAAAAACAAGACAAGTGTTGCTACCCAAGAAGGAGACAGATGCCCAGACAACAGTGCATTCAAGCAGCAGAGGCTGCCAGCTTGGAAGCCCCAGCTCACCATTGCATCTGTACTCTCCAGCTTCTTTCTGACAGGGGCTTTCTGCCTCGCCGTGGGAGTCTGCCTTGTCCTGTCTGCAAACAGCGTCAGAGAAATCCAGGTTGGTTTGGGGTGTTCTTTGTATTCTTTAAGGAAAAAAATGAGGTATGGAGAGAAAAAGCTTTGAGGTTTTGCTTCTGAATAAAAATTATAGCAATGGCTTACAGCTGGTATTCCTGTGAAAATCCTCAGGGGGGGTCATCAATAGAATCAGAGCACTAGGTAGTAATACCTGAAATATGGGTGATAATTATTGCCACTGGCTGGTAATATCAATTGCTGTCATTATTTTCTGRGGTTTTGAAGGGAAAAGCAAATCCATCTGAGAGTGTTTGGCACTGGAAGAACATACATGTTTTCTGGGGCAAAATCTCGAAATACAGGGAACCCTGATGTTTAAATCTCTCCTGCTGACCAGGTTATTCAGAGCTGTGGTGTTGTGAATAGATGCTGTTCAGCAGGGTGGGCCATGATGCCTGTGGGGGTTTGTCAGGCATTTCTTGGTCTGCCAGTCCAAGGTGCAGGAGTGTYCTTCACTCAGCACTCGTTTGCCGAGGAGCAGATGTGGAAGTTCTGCAACAGCCATAAAAAGGCTCATCAAAACAGCTTTAAATGGGATAAATTGTGTGGTTGTTGATTGAGGCCAAGTCCTGAGTCTGCCTCTTCATTTTTAACAATGTTTTTGGCAGTCCAGAGTCACTTAGAAGAGAACTGCTCTGAGAAGGCTTGGACCTAAGAAACTAATCTTTTTTTCTATGAGTATGTCCTTTATTACAATATATTTACCATATCACAATATATTCACTTCTTTGACAGATAGATTATTCAGATAAATGCTCAGATTGTTCAAAGCTCCGTGAAAATTCCTCTAATTGGAATAAGGAATGCCACTGTTCCATTAATTTCACGCTAAAGGAAGATATATTGGTAAGTGGGCCCAAGAAACCAACTCAAGTTGCTGAGTACTACCTGTTCCTTATATCCCTGTATGATCAAAGACACTAATTCTGTTCTGTAGATCTCCTGACTGAATTTGCTTTGTACTTTTTCAAAACATGTAATGCTCAAAATTTTACMCTTTTGCCTTTGCTGTTCATTTTGGTATTTATAACCAAGACCAGGCTACCTCTGTCCTTGGCTGGGAGATTTCCAAAGAGAAGAAGGGGTGAAGGAAATGGGGTGTGATTGTGGAGGTGACTTCTCTCTGTTTCTCTGAGTCAGTGGCAAACCCTTGCCCTTGGCTGGGGTTGGTTGTTGCTGGCCCTGCTAAGCTCTCAAGTGAGAAGGAAATCTAAAGTTCTGACCACTTCACATGAGCAAACCCCTGCAGTCATTTTTACAAGGGTTGTGCTGCTAATCCCCAAGGTCCTTGAAATAACACAAGCCTAGCAGTGTGATTCTGAAGTTTCCTTTGGAAAAAGTATCCTTTAKTTCCTGTCCTAAACTACCAGGTCATGTTGTTGAGACTGTTTAAATGCTTCATGTTCTGCCAAAGAGATCTTATGCTTAGTACTGAACTAAATGATCCCTTAAAATTACAGTGCAATTTAAAGTCACTTTAGAATTCTTCGGTATTGAGGGAGGCTGTTAAAATACTTCACAATTCTTCAGATTACAGTGATGTTTGAGATGAGAAGTTAATTTAACTGAGTAATGGCTTTTTTATAGTTTCATAATTATCTTTCAGGCTTGATTTGCCTGCCTAGAATTCTCCTTTTAATGTGAAGGTTTTCGTTCACCTTCTTTTATGGAAAAATGAGTGTCTGTCTACAAAATGATTCACAGTCATTGCAAGTTCATGGCTATGCCATCTTGAGTAAAATAATTATCAGGCATTTTTATTTTAGGTTTGGTTTGGTAATTTAAATTATGTTTAATTTTGTGCCAAAACATAAAAACTTACAGTTAGGGTAAAGATTAGATTCTAGCCCATSTCTGCTGAATTGCTTAGGGTGTAGTTACCGAAATTTTAATATGGGTTGGGTACTCTCTTCCCCTCTTTATTAGCAAGTTATAGGATTTCTCATTGCCTTCATGGACTCTCCTTATTGAAGGGATTTATCCTCAAATTCTAGGGTGATGTTTTTATGTACTATGGTCTGCAAAACTTCTATCAAAACCACCGTCGATACATGATGTCGAGAAGTGACGCACAACTGTTGGGCCGAAATGTAAATGTAAGTTTTCTTTTTATGTTGTGAGATCAGCAGCATTTCCAGCAGGTGTGCCTTTGGCCATATGGAGAGCTAATGAGGCAGAACCATAAGTGTGTTTAGGTGGCTCTAGGGAATAATAAAGTACAGATTTTCAGTGTTTGATCTTGGCTTTTATGCTTGTTAGGGCCATTATGTCTAATACGTTAATAAGAGAGGGAGGTTGAGGAGGATAAATAAAGATGTCAGTCCAGTGTTGCAGTTTTCAAACCTGCACCTTGTACTGCTGATGAAAAATACATTGTCTTTTTCAGATAAATATACAGAAAGCTTCTCCTTCTTTTCAGCCTTCTTAGCCAGAAGGTCTTAAAGCTTTGCTTTTATTATAGGGCTAGGGAATTAAGTTATTCTAAGTCTTTCRTTTTACCATCTGGCCTTGGAAGGGGACAGGGAGCAGGAAAAGTTTTCTGAAATAAGTGATCATGTAGCATTCTAAGTATGCAATTTAGAGGAGTTAGACAGCACCACCTGCAGCAGACCTGCATTAGGAAATTGGAGAACGCAATCATGGCACTCAGGTTTTTTTTACTTACAAATCTAAAGCATATTTTCTTTGGCTTTAACGTAGCATTTCTTAACRTACACATGGTCCACATGTCCGTGCAGTACATATGATGGTGGTACCATAATAATCTGTTGTTTCTCTCAAATGCTTCTTACAACTCTCCAGACATGTTCCTCATTTCTATAAAATGCAACTCTCCAGGTGTCCTGTCAGCTTGTTTGTTTGCATCCAGATGCAGCTGCCTTTGTCTTTTGTGCCAATCAGAAACACAGGAGTTACTTGAAAATATTTCTGTGTTTAAACCTGAAGATTTACAGTTTCTTATAAACTGGGATAGGAAAGATGTGATAAAGTTGAGGTGGACTTCTGCTTTTCATTCTGTRTCTTCATACATCAAGATATGCCCAGGTTAAACTGCAGTAATGTGGCCAACTACATCTGCTGTTCTCCAGCACTAATGCAACCCAGGTCAGGATTAAAAAGAAGGAAAAATAAGCTGTTCTAGGGTAAGGCAAGGCTTCACTGGGACATTTTCAGTTGTAGCCGTTGTACAATAGAAGATCCCCAAACCTGTTTGGGTAGTCTGGAGCTTGCAAGTCAGCAGCAGAATTTGGTGAAGACCTTAAGTTTCTGTACCTAGATCTGGAAGGTGTTCCTGAACTGCAGATCCTTTCATTTGGATGTCTCCTTAATGGGACCAAAAGATACTGGAGATTTAACTRTTCAGTGGCTTTTCAGAAGAAGGTGTGGGAGGACATCAGCAGGTTAAAACCAAATCCCAGGTGTGTTCCTGATTGTGTGAGCTTGAAYGCAGATCCAGAGGAGCTACTGTGCACCCTTCAGCACCTACAGGAACGGGACCCCGATGGCGCCGTGTGGGGCCATTGCCAACAGCATCTTCAATGGTACGTRGGCACCTTCCTCATCCTCTTCACTGCCTCCCTCTTCAAACCATTCCCTTCCCTCCAGGGACTCCTGCTATTGCAAGGTCTCTTTTTTCTCACACAAAAGGTTTTGTTTGGTGGTGCTGCACTGGTGAGTGCGAGTCTCTGCTTTCTACTGTTTGGTAACTTGGCCCTTGTTTGGAAACTGAGAGAGATTKTTCATTTTCTAATGCCCTCTTCCTYSTGAGTGCACAGCAGGAGTGAGGAATTTAATCCCTCTTGAAATATGGAACAAGGATACAACAGATTTAGTGTACTTCCATGCTAAAAGTACATTCTTGTACAGTGATGGGTGAGCCCAAATTCTACCTTCCCACAGTCATGTGCCTAGAAGGAAGGATTCTCCATCCTCTCCATTCTCCATCCTCTCCCATTGGTTTGGGCTTTGGATCACCATGGTTTGGATTTTGTTCTTAGAATGCTGGAAGCAYACATAGTCTTGATTTGATCCCAGCTCTGATGTTCTTTGCAGTAACCTGGTGGGCATAGTCTGCTTATCAGTACACTCAGGAGATTTCAGAATATATTTTTTTTTTAAAGAAAAGCAACAAAATACCCTGTACTGACTTTCCTCCACTACCCCATCTTTCCAATTTCTGCCGCTCCCCGCTCCCACCCTTTTTTTAACCTATTCCATGCCGCAGATTTTGCAGGGCAGCAGCTATTTCCAAGCAGTTGAGCCACGCACTCCAGGGGACTTGTGAAGGCCAGCTGCATTCAGTAACTTCTAGATCCCTTTGGTTTTCTGTGCACCCATCAGCTGCTCTGGAAGGGTGATTTTACTGCTTTGGGTCAGACCTAGGCCAGCAGAGCCCAGCTCTGTTCAGCCCATGATGCTCTGGAGCCTGGGAGGGAGAATCAACACAAGCAACTAAGCAGGCAGAGCTCAGAGCATTGCAACACCTGTTGTGATGACAGTGACAATAGTGACAAATAGCTGGGGATGTGGTGAGCCACAGGATGATCACTTCCTCAGAAGAATGTGTCTGAGCTTTAAGGAGCTGTGTGAACACAGGTTTTGTAGCAGGAGGGGGAAAAAGGAAGTTTTCATTGATGCTCATGCAGCTGAGTTGTGCTTTCCATGTCACCTAAAAGGCAACCCCTCCCCATCTTTATCATCTGTATCCCTGCCCTTCATCCCATTGGCTGTCAAGGGCTTTACAGAGACACAAATGTGATGTTATGATGTTAAACCTTATGTTAAACTAATCTATGTAGGAAAATAGAATGGATAAAAACAAGTGCTCTGCACCTGCTGAACCTGGATGGCATGGTTAAGCACAATTTTAACTAAATGTTTTTAAATTAAAGAAAGTGTTTGTGTCTAAGTTGGTAAGCAAGCTCTCATTGGCATAAAACGAAAGCAAAATTTTCTCCAAAGGACTGGARTCCCTTGACTGTGCTCTTACCTCTATCCCAGTCCTTGAAAACGCATCATATATAGCAAAGATTTAGGACAACTGTCAAATTCTAGGGAAARCTAACTAGGACAGTAACTTCTGTAACTAGCTGGAGAGCTCAAAAAGTGATTTGCAGAGAAGTTACTCTGACAGGAGTTGAAGGGCATGAGGAACGTGCACAACATACACATGGATTGGTAGGAATTGCTGAATCTTTCAAACTTCGGAAGTCCTCACTCTCTGGTGCCTTAATGCTTCTTGTGAAATGTGCAGTGCTCCATACACATGATGCAACCTCTCCCAGGACATTCCAGTTTTATATCTATTCAAAGATGCTTCAATGTGACTTTTTTTTGTTGGTCATGCTGGCAATTAGACTGTCTTTTACTCACAGATGGTGCTTATTGTATTCCCTGCAGACACTATTGATCTTTTTTACAACCGTAATTCATCTGTGATTCAAGTGCCACTGCTGAAGACTGGAAACAGTTGGTGGACAGATAAAAATGTGAAATTTCGCAATCCTAAATCACACAATCTCTCTTCTGCATTTGCAGGTAAGACTGGTTCTGCTGGTGTTCCTTATTTTTCAATGGCTTCCCTATCTCCCCCTTCTTGTGTCTCCCACTCTGAGGAAAATCTCCTTTGGGATCAATACCTCCCAAAGCAGGTTGAAGAAGCGACTTTAGAGGGTGACTGAGAGCAAAAGACATATTTAGCTAAAATATCACCTTTTTACTTTTTTAATCAGTGACCACAGAAATTAGGAGAAAATGGTTTTGGAAGACTGAAATTAGCCCACATCAACACTCTTCTTCATAGTTTCTTGTAATGCTTAATCTGCCCAGAGAAATCAAGGATGCAGTTGCTTTTTTTTTTTTCCTGTTGAAATTCATCTGTGAAAAAGAATTGCATGTCCCATCTTTCCTTCAKGCCTTTGCAGATTCTTGGGCAGTTGTGAGACACATGAGGCTGCCTTTGTTCTTTCAGGCCTGTTTCCAAGGGCTGTGTCCTTGTTATGGTCCTGTGTCCTTCATCTCTATTGAAGGGGGACTAAAAGCTGCCTGTTCTGGATCAGGGCACTGCCATGCTGGTGCAATATGTAAGAGTTAATTATCTGAGTAGTTTTCATGGGGCAGATTCATTAGACTGCAAAAAGGTGCCTTTCTGGTTGTACAGGAATAAGTTAATGTATAAAAATGAAGGCAAGATCCTCATAGAGACCATTGCTTGCTGAAGAGGCAAGAATCCAGAATGAACAGTATTTTCACTTGTGTAAGTCACTTGGTTTTTCCTGTGCTGGAAGGTTCTGATGTGTAGCAGCCCCTGGGTGTTGTTAAACTGTTGATTTATGTTTGAGGTGAGTGGATGTGCTTGGAGATGCTGTTATCTGGCATACAGAATTTTGAACAGTGCCTTATGTCTCTTCCATATCTCGTATTCTGTGTTGGTTGTGTGAGGCCCAGAATTTCAGCAAGCACTGTTTTTAGTGACAGCATTTTGCTGCTTTGTCCCTTTGTCACCAGGGACAGCACACCCTCCTTACTGGCAGAAGCCAGTGTATCTGCTGGATGAGGAAGATGAGAGGAACAATGGTTATGTGAACGATGACTTCATTGTCTGGATGCGAGTGTCGGCCTTCGCCACGTTCCGCAATCTCTACCGTCGCCTCAGGCGGACGCGGCACTTTGCAGACGGGCTGCCAGCCGGGAATTACACCTTCCGCATTTCTTACAGTATCCTTCAGATTCCCTGAGGCTGTCAGAGTTACAGTGAGGTGGGAGTGAGGGGGATTTGTGTGGTCAGCTGGCAGAGAAACCATRTGGAGCACCCCTGTGTCAGCAGAGCCCTCTGATGGATTTGGGCCATGGCCGGATTGATGGGAGATTTTGTGCCCCCTCACACTCAGCAGGGGCAAAAGGCACTCCTTTTGTCAGCAGGAGTKATGTCAACACAACCATGAATTTCCCTTCTTCCTCAGCTGATAGAGCAGTGCTTCTAAGTGTTGTGTCACGGTTCTATTCTGAAAGCTTCCATGGGAGRGATGAAAGGTAAACTTGTGTAACATTGTGGGTACAGCGTATTAGGTAGAGGTGAGCACTTATCCTCACAGAGACTSTGTGGAGAATCATGATAAACTTCCCAAAAGGCCGATTTTCGACGGAGCTTTCATAGCAAATTAATGCAGTAGCAGTTGTATAAATTTTGAATGTGAGATTTACAACGTTTAAAAGAAKGAAATGTTTCCCTGTGCACACAGAGACTGTATCTAAAATAAGTGGATTTCTCACCACCAGCTGCTACTGGGGTTTTGGATCCAGAATAACAGAGACTTCACTAATCAGTTAARGGAGTTTTGGCAGCAAATGCAGACCTACAAACTTTATGCCTTGGAAAGCTTTTTGAGCATGTAACCACTATTTCCTCTTCTCCTGGAAATAATGTGCACTTTGTTAGTGAAATCTTAACATCCTTTCCTCAGATTTCCCTGTTACCAGATTCAAGGGGAGGAAGCASGTGATCCTTTCAACCGTGGTGTGGAGCGGTGGGAGCAACCCATTTCTGGGAATTGCCTACGTGGTTTCTGGTGCAGCAGCAACCCTGACAGGTTTTGTCATAACTGGTATCCACTTGAAGCTCAGGAAAAAGAAAACATATTTTCAGAAGCAATAAGGATCACCTGACTCTCTGAACAAAGACAAAAGTRTGCAGTGAACAAAGAAGGTGCAGCACAGACCTTTCACTGTTTCCCCTGAGCTCTGGAATATTTTCTGTATCAGGTTGGGTGAATGTAAGCAAACTGAGGGGCAGGGCCATTCCATCATCTGAAACCAAACATATTGCCATTCTTATTAATGTACGTGTGAACCTAAATTTGTTTCCTGGGAAACTTGTAGTGAGATGAGCTTCAAACAGCAGATAGCACAGCAGGTTAGAACTGCAGTGGCAAAGAAATTACATGGTGAGATCCTGACTCCAATGAGTCAGGATCCGTATTAATTTCTTTCTTGGCCCATTTTTAAGACAACATTTCTCTTAAATGGAGCTTTGGATGGTAAAAGTGAGGTCTTGATCCAACAAAAAGCTTGAGCAGGTAGAACTGATTRCTAAAATCTGCTCATGGGCTACAGGTATGTGCTGAATGGTTTGGCTTGGGTTTTATATACCTTTTTCAGCTATGCTGAAAAAGCAGCCAATTTACATCAGTGTATTCACTCCAGTTTGATACCTGATTTGTGATTTAATACAGGGCATTCATTAAGAGTTTGGAGCGTGTTTAGATCACATTTATTGGTTATATCTAGATACTGAGAGCTGGAGAGCATCCAGTCACAGATTTACATTTTTTTAGGTTACTAGTCAATAGAAATCTTCAATTAAAAGCTCCTTTAATGCAAAATATTTCAGCAGAAACAGCTACCTAATATAACTATTAGGTCACAATTGCACTCCTACCTACTCCACCCTTCCATGTGAAAGTTCACAAATTCTTACATGACACAGAATGAAGACTTACTGTCAATAGAAAACAAAGCACCAGAAAATCTGCCAACTAAATTTTGAGAAAGCAAACACTGCAGCTCATGAATAGGTTCATCAACTTTCATATTTCAYGTTCAAAATTTTACACACTTATGAGTTTGTGTTAGGTCTCACAAAATGAAGGAACAGCACTGAAGAATTTAGGTCAAGCATACCATGGTAGATCCGAATTTTTTTAATCAATTTTTCTGTTTCAAAACTGCAAGTGGAATAAAACACTTYAATTCCTTTTGTAAGTATTTTGTGTGCCTTGAGTCTCTCTCTCTCCTAAAAAACCCTCTCACTAGAACAAGAAAGGWATCACAGAGTGGAGCAGAAGGGGCTGTGTCACAGGGAGGCACCCCCATCTCCTGGGGCTCTGGTGGCCTTTGGCAATGGCCTCTGGTGAAGGTGTTTACAGCCACAGAAGATGCAGGTTCCCTGGAGCTCTGATTCCTGTCTGAGCCCTGAGCAGCAGAGGGGGAGCTGCTCTGGTTCCCAGCCCAGCCTGGGGGACAGGGAAAATTCCACAGATGCTTTGTGCTGGCCTGGGAAAGGCACCAGTCCCCTCTGCTCTTCCTTCTCAGGAAGTCACCTCCATCCTGAAGCTGCAGAAACAGGATTTCTCCTGGATTTCAGATCTGTCAGGAGCTGTGGAACAGCCCTACCACTCCCTGGGCTGGACAAGCCAGAGCTTGAAGCTGTGCATTCACCAATGCCAAAGCTCATTAGCCTGAATCACTTTGAGCAGTGAGAAATGCCTCTAAACTTTTTTAATCCCTTAGAAAATGTAATCCTGTGCAGCTCTCTGGAAAGCCCTGACAGGATTTGCTCACAAAGCTGAATTTATGATTTCTGGCTCCTAACAGACCACAGGAGAGTTTTTATTTTTCTATATATATATATATATTTTAATTTTCTGAGAAACTGACTTCTAAGAAGTGATAGGTGTGGTTAAGTCATGATGCAATCGTCACTGATTTTATTTCTTCATGAAGTATCTGGTAAAAAAGTTCGTAAAAGGAGACTGAATAATGACATGTGTATTTCAGTGAGTCAGTGTCTACCAGGAAAAAAAAGTTATCTAAGAAACACAGCCTAGCAAGCAGTGTTTGTCCATCATCTCCCAGAGGTTTGTGCAAGAACCTCTTCTCTTGAAATGCAGATTKTCTTCAAACCCTTCAACAGGGAAAAAAATGCCTTCAAACAAGTCTTTCTGTTTTTCCACAAGTAAGTCTTCATTCATAAACCCAAAATCTCATTTTTCATCTTACCACAGCTTTAAACATGCGACATCTTTCTGGTACCCTCTGAACAATGTCCTTGGAAGCTGCTGCTTCAGCTCCAGCCATTTCTCTTGTCAGCTCTGCAGTGTCTGTCTTGTTCAGGATGCTGCTGCCCAGACTAGAGCAATGGGAATGGCAGCTTTGATTAATTACTCCCAGCAGAYGGAATCTGCCCTGCTCAAAAGGGTGGAAAAAAGTGTTAGCAACCCCTTTACTCTGCCTTTTCTGTCAGCACTGCAGCCCCCTGTGCCAGAGCTTKCATAATTGTACCTGGTCAAGAAAGCTTTGCAGATGTGTTCCTCAGTGCCCACACTGTGAATACTCCTCTTTCTATAGGAAATGTTGGTTGAATTCTTTTATGCTGCTGCTGCTGCTGCCTTATTCCCTGTAGTGCTGGGGCTGGATCAGAAGTGAAACAGAACTGCTGAAGGACTGACCTGACCTAACAAAGATGGTAAAAGCCATCATTAACTGCTCCTCATGGTTGTGCCATGTCCCAGGGGATTGTCCCCATTTGGCAGCTGCTGATAGCAGCAGGAGGCACCAGTCCAGGCAAGTATCCAGTGGGATTTTGAATTCATTTATTCTGCTATTAGGAGATCTTTAGGTCAGTTGGATCAGGGAAAGCYGCACTGAGGTTTGGAGGGCAGAGGTTTGAAGCAATCAGAGATGCTGAACTTTTACTTTTGCAATTGAGGAACAAATTGCTTTCAGAATAACTGGAGAGTTGTGACCAGTTCTGTGTCTTTGGCACAGMGTTTTTTTGGCTTTGTGCATTTGCTTTTATGGATTAAGATTATGTGTCTTGAGTAAAGAGGAAGTTTTGTTTAAAAATGCCTTGGTAAAACTTGCCAAAATAGTATTTTAATTAGCTTATCTATCAAACATACTTTCACCAATAGCAGGTGGGCTCTTTTCTCATATTAACTGATGCAGACTTGACAATTCAGTGCAAAGATGTCTGAGTTTAGGGTTGCTGAATGACAATTAAGAGCCATACCTGAAAAGTTTTAAGTCAACTTTGCCATTTCCTTTACTCTGAACAAAAGAGGCATGTCAGAAATGAGGTCTAGGTTTGGTGAACGGAAATGAATGATGTCATAGATGCTCAAAGTATTACAAAGTGCATTTTTTTCTTTTCCCCATCTTTTTTCCTAGAACAGATAAAGTTAGGTTTTTTGGGTTTTTTTGTTTGGTTTTTTTTTTTTTTTTTTTGGGGAGTGGATATTTAGTAAATGGAAAACTGGACAAAGGTTTCCTTTTAACAGATGTAATTTAAATTTATATGGTAAAAATGGTCTAAAATAGATGAGTCAAATGGGATATCTGTTTCTGGGGTTTGTTTAGGATTTTGAAGATTGCAGTTACGCATGGGAGCATCTTCTGGTATTCTTAGTTCATTTTTAACAGTGGCAGAAATATCTGGAGTGGACAAGATCCCATTATTACTTATCTGCAATTTAAATCTCACTTCTAGATTACAGGGAGGTGTAGGAAACAATTGTATTTTAATGTCAAAAACTGTTGTAGTGGTTTTGGTTGCCAGCTCCTTTTAGGATTGAATTTCATTAATGGATGTAATTCTGTATCTAGAAAGAAAGGCATAAAAATTAATCAGGTGTTAAGGRATATTTCAGTAGATAGAAGCCTTTTTCAGGCTTTACAGTCTCATCAATATACGTCCAGTGTTTGTCTGCCACGGATGGTTTTTCTATTTCCAACCACAGACATTTGCTTTCATCTAAAAATAAAGGGGTGAGTCCTTCATGTGAAACAGATCAGGATGATCACAGACCTGTAGAATTTGGAAAAATTAGTTACATGCTGCATAGATTTCATATTAACAGCTGTGCTGCATGGAGATTATTAATGTCAGTGTTTGGATGGTGTGTTTTAGTGATGCACTGCAGTGTGAACGCTTCCTCTCTTTCCTCTGAGAAATGAAGCTCATGCAAGAGTGAAGTCAAAGATGGCAGTTCAGGGGAGGGAGGGCTTTGGGAGCCCTGATAATATAAAGAGATGCTGCATAGCAAGTTGAGCTTAGATTTGAGTTKAGATGTAAAGCAGGAGAGAGCATTTGCTTGTCACGTGATGAGAAGGTGCTGTCATCCTCACCGGGAACAGCTGATAGGAGAAAATCCTGTAACCACAGAATGAGGGGAACAGAGAAAGGGASAGGAGTACTTTCCTGCTATTGGGTGTGAAGGGTAAGAAATTTGGCTGAGCTGCTCAAGATGATGGTGTATCCTGCCACATGCTCTGGGAAGCCCATATGATTTTGGGCAGTAGCCAGGTTGAGTGAAAAAGTTTCTCAGTTTTCAGTGCACGCTGAAATACAGTGCATAGTTTTTGAGCTAAGGTGTTTTGTCTGGGTTCTCTGTAATTGCATTATTCCCTACAATTCCAAGAATAATTTTATCATGAGCTGGGAATGCCTTGGGCAGCTGCCTTCAATTTGGTGGTCTCTTGTTTCCAAGAGAGAGGTTTTGGAGCATTTCTTGTTCCCTTAGCATCCTTGTTTTTCCTCAGGTTATGGAAAAGGAAGCCAGGCAGGGGAAGAYTGGGGCTTGTTTTGCTTTTTTCATGAATGCATGAAAAAGGTTTTCTCCCTTTTCCCATGCAGCTGCCTCGGAGAGGAAAAGGGCTTTAGGGCTGATTCTGGTCCAGTGCAAGTGAAGTCAGTATTTAGATTAGACAAATTGCAATAGGTAAAGACACGGGAATAGCTCATACCCTGGAAACCTTGTATTTCAGAGAACTCTAACCAAAATATGTGTGTTTACTGAGCGTGTTCTATGTATTCTGTGATAAGAAACATACAGCATGAAACAAGATGAAAARAGGCCATTTGGTTCTCCTCCTACACAATTACAGCTATTGTCACTTTGCATTRAAGTGCCTAAAATGATCCCTTTCAAACCGAAACAATTGAAAAGCTGGTGGAAAAAAAGGAGGCTCCCTACTGTGTCAAACCCAGCTACCCATAGTTATTTTTCTTTTTTTCTGTCTGTAATAAAAACTTGCATTACCAGTTATAATACTGAAGGACTCAGGGTTTAAGATGAGGTTCAAAGTTTTTGAGATTTCTCAGGTAACTTATATGAATCCCTGTGCTATCTCTGGACTGTATAATTAGTGACAATGAAGCTGAAAACACTGGATAATGACATGTCCCAAAAATTGAATGGTTAAAAGAAAAAAGGAAGGAAGCAGTCCCTKCCCTTACTCCAGTTGTCATAACCAGTAAATGCATGGGGAGAGTGCTGGGAGCCACTGAGCTGCCTCTGGGGTGGAATGTGGCCATTGACAGAGCAGAGAGAGCCCTCACCCCAGCTCAGGGCAACTGTGACATTTGCAGTTAATTTAATAACCCTCCTCCCTGCAGAGGGTGTGCTGGGAAAGCTGTCACRGTGGCAGGGGACAGCGGGTCCGTGTCCCCATCCAAGGAAATGCTCCAAGGAGTGCACTGGTGCTGCTTCATCCTGGTGGGTGGCAGGGGTGCAGTTCCAAATTGTGCAATTCGATGACAGTCCCAGCATGGGCTGGCTTTTGCTGGMCTGTGTGGTGCCATCCCAGGGTGGCACATGCTGCAATTGAAATCAAAATCACTAAAATGAATAAAAGAATAATCACTGAATTATCACCCACACCCATGCTCACAGTCAGGTTTCTGTGYTTTAAACTTCTTGTTGACATGAGACCCAGCAACGATCATGGAAAGCTTTTGAGCAGGTTTTCCTCAAGCCCTGTCATTTCTGGCTGTGCAGTTCATAATAAAAATTGATCCTGAATGAAGCTGATGAGCTCAGAAGAAAAGCTATGGATAAGATTTTTATCTCTGCATGTTTTTGTTACCGATAAAATGAATTAACTACAAGAACTGCTTAACACATGTATAAATTGTAATTGTGCCAATGGGTTTGGGGCTGTAGCTTGAGGAATTTTTCATTCAGCTTTCTAAGTTTTTGTAACTGTAACTTCACTTYAGGCAACCAGTGGAAAGCCAAGTCTTAACTAGAAAGGTCAGGAGTTGGTTTTCAAAGGGAGGTAAGAAATTGAGAAAGCATTTTCATATTTCTTTGCTTTTGGGGGGTTTTGATTGAAATGGAATGTCTCACACAGTGTAAGTAAATAGGCTAAGTTTTGTAATTTGGGATTTGCCCTGAAACTTATRTGTTCTGTCAGCATTTCCCATATCAACCTAACAGGTGATAGTGATCATGTCATAGAAATAAATGAA